CCACAAAAGTATATATTTCTTTACAGATATTGAGATTTTTAAAGGAGAAAGAAAATTGTAGTGGAATGATTTTGTATCAATCATTATCTAACATCCATAAAATGAGCTTGAAAGTCCGTTTTTGATAAATAAAGAACAAAGAATGTCAGCAAAACCACACTTTTTTCCAGTCGACTGAACTGTCAAGAAGTGTGAGCACAATTCGTAAGGCTTGCAAACAGCCCACTGCACTAAATTGGAATATGATACATTCTTACAACCCGTGTGTATGTCATTTGGCCTCCCAACAAATTATTAGCAAAGATATTTTTACAAGTATTTTTTCCAAATCAAAAACATCACCACTTCGGAGTTGAAAACCCCATATCATAATTAAGTGAAACCCCAATGGTGCCCCTTTATATGGTATCATAATGGTAAATGTATAATTGTCAAGTAAGGTAATGTAATAGTGCAGGAGAAATGTTCTATTTGGTTATGAAGAAATGAAACCTACCCCCCCCCCCCGCCTCCTTCACCAAAAAATTATTCGAGGTTGGAAACAGAAATTTTTTGGTGAGTAATTTTTCTCCCCCCCCCCAACCTTAAATAATGCTATATCCCTGTAAACCGCATAAAATTATGCTTTGTTCCTTTTCAGCATTTTTACAGATGCAACATTACAAAGTCCTTCTCGCACTTTCTGAAATGAAACCCTGTTCCGTGCACGTGTCTTTAAGAAGCAATGTACCTCTATAATGTGAAACTGTAAGACTCACAGGCGCGATTTTTTAAAATCAGAAATGCTCCCATCAGCCTTCGGGTCACGTGACCTAAAAATGTATATTAAAACGGAGTGACTTACAGAGAGGGGTAGGAAAGTGTAAGGGGTATTGGAAATAGTTGTAATATTAATTTAAAAGAAGTACAACTAATCTCAACACGGTATACATAGTTATTTTCGCCCCGATTTATGTACCCCCTTCATACAAAGATCTATGTTCAGTTTATGCATAAAATAGTCCTGTACTTATTAAGTTCCATCACCCTCCTTCCATTTCATATATTAAAATAATGCAGACACTTGGTGCTTTCATTTCCTATAATAAATAATTCAATTTTTGAGAATCGATACATTAGAAAACAGGCTTTGAGAAATTGCAACGTTCTTGAAATTTGCAGAATGCATGCATATTTGACTCCCAGAAGCTTAAAGGTAGGATCTTATTTGCATTTCCGACGATCATAAAAAAATGTCTGGTTATATAAGAGAATTTATGTATTCTTGGGTTATATATATATAATACAAGTATTTACATATTTTAATAGTTTTATTTGTATTTTAAGTGAGTATTGCCTTTTTTAATAACTTAAGATTAAATATCAGTGTCATTTCCAAAATAATAATTGAAACCAGGTTTAAACATGAATTGATTTACTTGAAATTGTCACCAGATTTTGGTAAGACATTGTACCGACTTATAAGCGGGTCAATAGCAAATTTCACCAAAATAATGTCATAAAATACATCCGAATTATAGGCGAGTACATACGGTACCTTCAGCAAAAAATTAAAATATGAGCACAGTCAACCATTCAAAAAATAGAACTTGTTTTTAATCTTCAGAAAAAGATCTTTCGTTATGCATCTGCATGTATTGGATCAGAGGTTTTGATCTATATGAAATATTGAAAAAAAAAATTCAAACTTAAGGTACTCCGATCCTCAGGTTCTGAAAATCAAGCTTTGACTAATTGAAAATGCTCACAAAAATGTCTCCAAGTTTTCAAAGTAACGCGTTTTACCCATAATAATTCGACAGACATCATCTTTCAAGTTAATCATATTGTATAAAGAAAATTAGTAAAACTCAAATTCATTTTCAGGAATTGCTAAAAAAAAGACACCTGCTATGCATTTTCCAATTCAAATTTGATCAATTTACACATTTTAAAAATGAAAATCATAGGTATCCAGGCTTTTGAAGAAATTCCACAATTTTTATTCATATAATGTACTTAAATTTCTTTTATTTACTTCGATCATTTTACAATGCAAAATGTATAAAGATTCTCCTGTCATTGCAAAGCTACATAAATCAGTTCTAATTTCATATCATCTTGATAAACATTGGTATTTATGGTTAGATTAAAGTGAACATCAATTTCGTCATATATGTATTTTTAATATGCTTTACGGGGTAAAAATTTCAACTTTTATTTAGACCTTTCTGAGAACTTCAAAGAACCTTGAAGTACATTAAGAGGTATATAATGAAAATTATTGCATGAAAAGATTTAATTTTCAAGCTTCATTTTAAGACATTTTGAATTAAACTATAATATAAATAGTTGTCCTTCCTGGCTGAGGATCGAAGTCCCTTAAGGCCATTTTCAAATAAATTTACAGAAAATGAGGAAAATTACCCATTCTATGACGTCACAATTAATTGAAAAAAGGATAAATCACGTCATGATTAATAGATACGTGGTCGCCAACACTCTAAGTGATAAATACTGCATTTCCAACCTAAACATGTCCCGTGGGGAACCGGGTTAGAATAGGTCCTCAGTACCCCCTTGCTTGTCGTAAAGGCGACTAAATGGGGCGGACCTTCGGATGAGACTGTATTAACCGAGGCCCCGTGTCACAACAGTTGTGGCACGATAAAGATCCCTCCCTGCTCAAAGACCGTACGTGCCGAGCAAAGGCGCCCTTCACCGGCAATGGTGACGTCTCCATATCAGTGAAATATTCCGGAGAGGGACGTTAAACAGTATACAATCAATCAATCAATCAATCAAGCCAACCTAAACTGATTTTCAGAAATTCTCAGGGCCAAATGAAGCCCAGAAAAAGTGGTTCTTGTATTTTTCCCTTTTAAAATTCGCCCAGTCATAGTTTTGTTTAAGAAATTATACTACACTCTTTGAATATTAGCGCAGTTTTAAATTCCACAGCACTGTCAAGGCCTACTATGAGAAATCAACTGAAAATAGACGTGCAAAATACGGGTACCTTTGTAAAACTGAATTTATTTTGATTAAGGTATGCCCATACTTTCAAAATTTTCTGTCAAACTGATCATTTTTTAACTTGAATACCTTTATTAACATATGAACTAACTAAAACACCCATAAAATACATATCGTTGGAGGTTAATTTTCATACAACATGTCTCAGAGTACATACCTCTAAAATCCAACAGCCAAAATTAACCATAAAGATGTGTGATATCATATTTTATTTAGCTATGCACCAAAGCACATCAAATTTATATTAAAACCTGTGGAAACAAAAAACATTCATTTGCCAGAAGAAAATTTGAAATGATTTCTGGAAAACATTAACAAATTGATGTTGAATCTGTCCACGTCTTTAAGAATGAAATCTCAAAATATCTTTAATTTTTAATAATTCTCAAAATCTAAATTGTTTACATGCCATTCTTTCTTTAAAATTAGCAAGAATTATATCTAAGGTTAACAAAAACACAAATTTTAATATGATTGACCAGAAAAATTTAACAAAACAGCCCTTTGAATACGTTTACCCCCATTTTTGGAATATCAAGTTTTTCAATCATTTTTTACAAAATTTAAAACGAAAGTAAAATTAAAAAAGTTGATACTGGCCTAAAATCTATAAAAATAGATCTCAGGTTAGTTTGTTTAAAAAAAAAAATAAGAAGGGTTTAGGTTCATAAAGGCAATTAAGAATTTTGTGTCTGTGTATGTGCTAAAACCATATAAATCCTATGGACAAAGTGTAAAGTGTTAATTTCCATAAATAGTATATATGAAATGTCTTGTATTCAAACTGACACTATGATTAATAAATATATACTTATCAAATTATTTTCAAGCAAGCAAAATATTTTATTACAAATAAAAAGTGATGACCAGAATTTTATATTGGTATGTAAAATTAAAACCGGATCCGTAAAAGTATGGACCTTCCTTAAGCTATTTTATTATCACAGAACACAAATACTTATTGAAATAGCATAGAATAACCCACTCTGTACTGTATGAAGTTTGGTCCCATCGATGGACAGTCACGTGATGAATGCATAGTTCGTGTACTGAATGAAGGTCATGAACAAATTTCAATATAGCAAGGGCATACCTTAGTTGAAATTAAAAATTCATGTTATAATTTGTTTGTGCATTTATACTTTGTTGTTTCTGAAAAGTGCTGCTGCTTTGAATAGAATTCGTGTTTTAATAGTTAAATTTTCAGGTAAATAAGCTTATGTCAAAATATGTTTGACTTTTACCAAATATTTTGTGTACTTATAAAATCACGCCCTCGATTTAAAGAAAGGAGCAGCACTTTTCAAGTTAAGAAAACTATCCTTTATCTATATTCAAAAAATGATTAAGATCTATGAAGTTTATGCCCTTGCAAAAGTGTGATTTTATGAGGCATCTCGGTGTAAAATATACGTAACCTGTACATAAAAACACGACATTATTCATAATATACATTCTCTTGATAGTTAATTAATAATCGCACTAAACAAAGGATATGCATTGGTATTAATCGACTATTTAAAACATTTAAATAATATTCCGTTTGATAATAAAACGCACTTTTCATTGTTGAAAAATCCCTCAATCTACCTCTCACAGCACATGAAATACGTCATTTTAACCAAAATGACGTCATGTTTACAAGTTCATCGCGATCAGTGCTTTGTCTCTAACCAGCTACATGGGATTTAACTAGCAATTTTTTTTATGCATTGAGAAGTTTTATCGTTTTTATTATGCTAATACAGTTGTAAGTTGCAAACTATTTCATTTTCAGGTATAATGAGAAAAACATAAAAATCATATTTTTGTGTGACGTCAGAGTAAACTTTTCCCGTATCAATTAGGCCCGGCCCCCTTATTCAAGCCTTAATAATGCTGCGTCGCCCAAACGAAGGAAGGTAGAATGGTAGAAAATATACTGGATGGGGCTAAAAATTCCCTGTTTACAGTACATGTATGCATCATATTAGAAGATGGTAAATGTAGACTGCTGATCTTATTTAACATTTTGGTAATAGTAGGTACAATGCACATGTATATTACACATCTACAAAACTTTCCGCATTTAAAAAAAGTAATATAGAATACACTTAAATTTAAATTGTGTGTTTTCCATAAATTAGATCACATCGCCCGTTCTAGTTACAAGAATCGTAAATATTCTGTATTTCATTAATTCTGCTTACGAAAATGTCTTGGTATACTCCTTGATGTATGGGTTTCTTGCAGTAATGCTTAAGAAATAAAATTAAAACACAAGTTCCAAGGAAAACACAAAGCACAAGAGTTCCTAGAAATAGCCATTTATATAAGGTACTGCTAGGCTCTTCAAAAAATGGCACCAGAGTTGAATTATCAGTTGATGTATTCAGCAATATAAAGGAAGCTGGGGATGAGCCATTTTCTATCAATAATAAATCATTTTTGTGTGAACAATAAAGTTTGAATAACAAATTTTTGATATTGAATGGAAAAAAATAGAATAAGCTCAAAATGAATTAAAACAATAATAAACTGCACCTACCTTGGAGTAATACACATCCAAAAGCAAAATCGCACAAGCCCTCTGTGCATTTGCACTCATTCTGACATTCCGCTCAAAAACTTGGGTATGGGCATCGTAATCTGCAATTCTTTGCATAATAACCTACCTGGCAACCTTAAGTTTTCAGCAAATGAAAGATATAGATGCATTTTTATAAAATATGATATTAAGTTTATAATTGTTATGATAAGCTTCGAATGTCTAAAGTTTCTCTTACGCGTGCATTCTTTCAAAGTTTCATTCCATAAATACCCCGAGCAACATTTTTTGAATCTGTAACATTGATTAACTTAAATTATAGCAAGTTAAAATTTCCATTGATTGCAACTTAATACATTTTAGATACATGTACATAGAGTTTAAGATCAAAGGATGAATATCATTTAGTTATAGCAAGTTAAAATTTCCATTGATTGCAACTTAATACATTTTAGATACATGTACATAGAGTTTAAGATCAAAGGATGAATATCATTTTTTTTTAAAATATAACATACCCTGTGCACTTCAAATCTGACAGAATAAAAGGTACTGTTACTATTATCAAAATCCCTCCAAGAACTACATTACTAATGACATTCATTGTGTTGTAACTTCTTTGAAATGCTTTTTTTCAAACTAGTTGACATGTAAGCATGATATCAATCTTCCGGTTAATTAATTTTGTAATGCACTAATTCAATTCAAACTTTGAAATAACGTTCCATTGAGTGAGGAAACATTCAAATTAAAACTTAAAATCATCATGGAAATCAAAGGAAATACAAGTACTTATCAGAAAAGTTCAATATGATGCTGCATACAATGTAAGCTTTCGGGGATATCACAGCCTGTTTTACATATTTCCACGTTTCGGATTAAAATATTTTTAAAAATATAAAAATCCCACGAGGAATCTTGGCTTTTTATGGGGAATCAATTGCTTTCTTTCTTTTGTATTGAAGTTTTTATATACGTTTTAGCTTACTTGATCAACAGCTTGTCCAAAGGTCATTTAATGATGTGTAATAGTTCACTTTTTAGGTTCTTGTTTTCATTGCTCAAATAAAAATTTTCCCGGTACTGTACAAATTGATTCATTTGGTTGGTCATTTGCATCTGAGTTTATAATATTTCCCCCCGTTTCATTTCACATGACAAAACTACCTCATTCTGAACATTGTTTATATCTACTATAAATCTGTCAGGTTTCCTGCATATCTTTGTACTTCTCGCCTGTTCCTTAGGCCTAAATGGGTAAATACTTGACATGGCTCCTTTACGCAGCACGCTCCTAGCTCCAATCAAATAATAAAAAAAAATTAATGAGTTTTTGCGCTTTTTTTAAATCAAATCACATGAAACCATGAAGTGCGAGAATACTTATATTAAACACTGTTTTCACCTGCAGTGTGCAACTGTAAAGCTGTGGCAGATATCAGATAGTATAAGGTATTGGACTGCCATGAGAACCAATTTGTTGCTTTTACAGTTCAAATTGTTGCTGTCAAAGTTTCTTAAGCGATTCTAGATCTTAAAATATTTTTAACCTGATTGTGAAGCAAATTAAACCTTCGGCTAAGTTATATTTTTTGTCCGAAACTTTCAAATTTTGTAAAGTTAAGAAATGAAAATGAGGCACGACCTAGAAAAAAATGTGTCAAATAGATTTTTAAAATGGTTGTTATTTTTTCAAAAGTACGCGGCTAGGATAAGGCTGCCCGTATAATATCAAACTGATGAAACTGTACTAAATTCTCTGAACTACCAAGATATGACGTCATAATACAATATGACATCAAGTCACTGCATTCTTGAGCTGACATGATTGGGAAAGTGTCATAATTTTTTTCAGGGCATGTAAATTTTATGGAGCGTTGTTGTCTAATGCAAGTGTTGAGATTGTATTTTAAGCTCCAGTGTGCTATTATGATGTTGAACATTTCAAATTTGATACACCTGTTCCTCTCGCGTGTCCGACATGCACACATTTAAACCTGTGTGAACACTCCCCTTATACTGTTCATCAGTAGACAGAGTTACATTGTAGAATTTATGGATAGACTATAATAGTGTTTATATTGGAATGGCACAAGTGATAAACAAGGACAAATTAAAGATATTCTACGAGAGAATTCAGTCCTCTGAATGATTTTTGCTGGGGGATCGTATGTACGTTAGAGTTGAAAATACCCCTTTTTATGATAGTAAATGGAATTTTCTCGTAAAAAATTTACTTAATAAGTAAAAATTGAACCTGTCCCCATCATATTTTATGTACCAGAGATCACGATAAATTGATTTTTGCAACAAAATTTTCACTATAAGTATGTTTTTACTTGTGCCGAAGTGATTTTTGTGCAACATTTAAGAATATCAGAAATGTTTGTCACGTGATCAACATGGTCATGTGACATCACAAAATATGCTTTATACCTGATTAAACTTTTATCTCAGTTTTACTGCAATTTCAATCATGGATTGGATATTGGAATTAAAATCTAGCTCAGATGAAAGTGTATATTTTTGAGGCATTTTAAGCCTTCAGACAGCCTTATCATAACCGCTTAATACCAAGGACGAGTAAACACTTAAATAAAAGTGAGTTTCCTAAGAATATGCAAGATGTCAATATTTCAATGACTCTCCCTCCTTTTGCATTTCGTTTTATTTGAACCAATTGTTTAAAATTAAAAATGGTCCAACGAAAACAGCTTTTTGTGACTTTGCTTTAAAAAATTTCATTTCTGAACTGCCCTATTTGTAAAACCCTTCGATTGAATGATAGATTGTATATTGTTTAACGTACCTCTCGAGATTTGTTCACTCATATGGAGACATCACCGTATGCCGGCGAAGGGTGTCAAAATTAGACCTGTACTCGGCATTCTGGGCCATTGAGCAGTGAGGGTTTATCTTTATCCTGCCAGAGCCAACCGTGACACGGGACCTACGTATTTAAGGTCATATCCGAAAGACCCGTGAATTCCACTTTTGATGCAGAGCACATGGTGAAGGAACAGTCACTACCTATTTTTACATCTTCTCGCGAACGAGAATCGAACCCAGGTCTCCCGATTATGAAGCGAACGCTCTACCACTAGGCTAAAAACCTTTAAAGCGAGGTGCTTAACAACGAACAAGCTATGGCTGTATAAGAGAAGTACGAATCGATTATACACATTAACATGTATAAACATCTAATCAATGATGTTATCTAGGCGATGCTTTGATTGCTAATGCGAGCTTGTTTTTAAATTTTGAAAGATGCACTTGAAGACAACGGTAACAAACGTAATCACAAGCCGATATCAACCCATCTGACAAAATCACAAATCTTTAAGTTTTGTCTGGTTTGTCTTGTTGATCCTAAAACCCTTTTCCGGAGCTTTAAACCGATCTTTTATAAAACAATAGATGTTATATGTTTATGCCCAATGGATCCTGATTTGGTTATAAATTCTCTTCTATTCTGTATATAATCCACGGTGCAGAAAGAGAAATATACTCAATTTGTTGCGATTAGACAGCCAAGACGGGATAAGACCGTCCTTTGACCCCGGAAAAAAATGCGATAGAGTTCAGGAGAATTCATTTGAATAGAAATCAATTTGTTTAGTCGATTACTAAATGTAATTCAGACTATAATACCGATTATTCTTCCTCAATGTCCCTAAAAACATTTAACTTGAAAGAGAGAAAAAATGTATAAATATGATAATACCAATAAAACCGAGGTTGAACATTAATATGCCATCTAATGCAATCGATAATTGTTATGTACGAGAATTTGAAATATTCATACCTTGGGTGACTATTTTAAATAAGTATATTTAAATTCAGGTATTATTTCTTGAAAATTATTGTAGATTTTGAATTCAATTTGACGTTAATGAAATGCACCATTGTTAGTGTTGCAGTGAACGAAGAGAAAAGTAGAATAATTTGCGGCCGTGTACATTTGACTACTGATATATATCTAAGGGGAATACTTTGCTACTAGCAAGGAAAGAAAGCTTTCTTTGCACTCCTTCGATAACAGTATCCTGCTCATAGGAAAACAGTAGATGCAAAATTAACTCTTAAAGCGCATTAGTACATTCCAATTCTTGAAACAGGTTTTCTTTTCTCCGTTAAAAAGTAAGTATCTTCCCTTCGATTCTTTATACACACTATATATATGCATGTTGAAATTTGTTAAAGAAATGATGATTTTAATGTTTTAATTTTTTTCTTTAAGATTGTAATATTTTTGGAATATTGAATAAACTTTAATGAAGCGTACTAATCATTGACTCTTAATTTATTTATAGAAAAAAAGTCAAAAAGTGTAAAATTGCAATGGAAACACCATAGAAACATACATACACAAACCTAATTGGAAAAAAGGAAATAATTCAAAATAAAACAGCTGAGAACGTTTAAAATAAAGCCACTTCCGGAAGGAAGTATTCAATTAAAACAATGATTTGGGAAAATAGATTAATAATATTTTTCAAACATCAATTACATTTTGTTAGGGGGGAAATGCATTTTTTTCTTTTGATTTGGTTTCTGACTCTAAGAAGATTGGATGTATCGTCTGAAATGTTTTACAAAAAGGGGACATGCGGCTTTGTTGGGTACGTAGAATTGATCAGACTCAAAACAGGATAAAAGAAAACACGAATTTACAATAGCATACCCTGTTAAATTTAAATGGACATTCATGATTGATAAGAGTTTTTGCAGACTTTTCTTCATATATTATGCACATACAGATGAACCAGAGTGAGTCTCCGACCAAAGTTTAAAATCTCTCAGTGCTCTATTCATAAAGCGATCAAATTGCAGAATATAGAAACTTTATTACTTTGAATATATGAACCATTCAAATAGTCATTAATATCAAATAATTTCAATTGCTTTTGCAGAAAGAAACCAATTTGTTGTGAAGGTTTCAGATGGAATATAACGGAGGAAACATGTCAAGGTGATGAAAAAATTAATTTCAGATGAGTATATTTAGAAAAATCATATCCAATTATTCAAGAAATAAATACATTTATTTGAGGGCATGCATATCAACACATGAAACATGATATTGGCTGAAAAATTAAATTTAACTTCATGTATTCTTACATGTTAAGTTACATTGCCCATATTTCTGTATTTATATAAAATTATCACATCTCATTTGTCTACAGAATGTAAACCGGGATACTATAAGCATAATTGTTCCACTCAATGTCCTTATCCTGCATATGGTGAAAAATGTCAGCAGAAGTGCATCTGTAATAAATCATCATGTAACTTCATGAAAGGATGCATCATATTTGGTAATACATTCTTTATCTTTTTATGATATTTCATAACTACATCATAAGTAATCAACAGGTTCAACACATTTCCTTTATACTTAATTAGACTCTCCGCTGACTTTTTGTCCCCAAATGTACAATTTTGAGGATTATTCAGACTGTTTGATTTGACTTTGGACAGCTATGCGCACCAATTTGTTGCTTTTACCGTTGAAATTTTTGATTTAAAAGTTTGTCAAGCGGGACAGAACCATGTAACATTTTTTTTACCTGAATGCGAAGCGAAACCATGACCTCATAAGAAGATCAAGATCAGGTTTGGTTTGATTTAATTCTGTCCAAAAATTCACATTGATAAAAGTTGGCGATGAAAATGAGTCACAACCTATAGAAAAATGTGTTTTAATTGTTTTTTTTAAACTACCTGGTAGTTGTTTTTTTAAAGGAACATCGAGAACGATTAAACACTTAAAAAATTAGTACAACCTGTCGTAAGGATATGCTAACATTTCAATGACTCTCCCTCCTTGTGTGTTTTTTAGTTGAGCTAATCGTTAATAGTTGAAAATTGTCCCAAGAAGAATCTGATTACACGAAAACGTGCCACAAAGTACAAACTAATTGTTTTAAAGATCCATAACGGAACATTGGTTTTCATCGATGATAATTGATTTTCTTTCTGTATAGTTGTTGAGACGACGCCTTGGTCATAATAATTTGAAAATAATATACCCTTCTGTCAGGTAGTTTTAAAATAAATACATTAATTAGAGCAAACACTCAAAAAAATTCGAGTAGATTTTTTTCGTGCAACTTGTTGTCAAAATCATCTCGATTATTTTTTATGTTTTCTTTTTTAGGTATTTATCTTCATATACAAATAAAAATGCCATAATGGGAAATATTTTTTTAAAAATATAATTTGAAAGATATTATCGACTTTAAACCTCACATGCGCATTTCTTTGGAGATGAATAAACGATATCGGAAATTGTAATACCCCCTCCCTCTTCATTTTTTGCAAGACCTTGAAAAAAATTGAGTAATGTCTGCAGATACAACATCGGGATATTGAATCCGTGAAAATATATTTGTATTTGTTTGTTTCTTGTTAAATCCCCCTTCAACCCCCGGAAAATTTTAAACTCGTGTGGCGACGCTGTAACTTGCCAGGGGAAAGATGCATATTTTGCTTTAAACTGACCACTATGGGCCATTAAGCAGGGATCGATCGTTATCGTTGCAGTAAAAACTGCAACATGTGACATCTGTTTATACGGCACCAGGTCTCATTCGAAGAATTTGTCTCACAGTGGTTTCGAACTGGAAACGTGAGGTTCAACTTCCTACACTGCAACTCCAGAGCATAGGCTTTAAAATAACCAGTCTACCACGCGGGCAAAGCATGAGTAGTTCATTCATGTGTTCATATAAAATATTGATTTCTAAATAAATATGTTTTGTTCTTACAGGATGAATTTTATTTTTATGTCTATAATGTATTAATGTACCCTTGCATGTAAAAGTTCTTTTGAATATATTTCCACATCACCTTTAATGAAGTATGATTTTGAAAACTTTAAATCAGTATTAACACTTTAAATCAGTATTTGCAGCTGTACACTATACTGCGATGACTGGATTATTTAAAGAAGAGATTATTGAAGGATATGGAGATAACTAACAGCATTCAATATCAAAGTCCATGAAACAATACAAAATATAAGTAGAGCAGACACGGACCTCTTAAACATCAGAAGTGGGATCAGGTGTCATTGAGGAGTGAGTATGCCCTGCTGATGGGTAACTCCCGCTGTGTGCTCCTAGTTATGATCGAAAATTAACGGGAAAATCTGTCGTCCTTTCAGTGTATAAATACCATTTTAAAATTCAGTATGATAAACGTCAATCAGCATTGATTCAATGATAAATTGTATTTGCTGACAGGGTCATTGTATCACCAAAGAACTTGCAATATGAAGACTATAAACGAGTCTGCTGATATTCATGTTTTATCAGCTTGTATGTCAATAATTTACCTCAATTTAGAATTCAGACATTGTTCATAAGTAGAGCACATATCTTTTCACGCTAAAGATTTTGCGCAAATTCTGCTTCAAATTCAAAAAAATAGGTCTGCTAATAACGGCACGCTATTGGTACCTATACAAATACCATAAGAAATCTTGTGATTTCAAAAGTTGTTTGGAATTTTTGTCTCTTCATCCGATTCATCCAATTCCTTAAAATATTGTAGCACAGCAGTCTTCACGTTTATCCTTCACTACTGTCAATCTCTGAGTGTGTAGTAAAGAGAGATGATTGCTTGAATATTGACTGAAACACGCAAAACATCTTTGTCTGTTATATATATATATATATATATATATATATATATATATATATATATATATATATATATATATTAGGGATGTCAACGAGTACCCGGTTAACCGGGTACTCGATCGAACGTCCGAGTATCGAATACTAAAATCGGTACTCGGTTACTCGGATGTATATTTTTAAATATTTCTTAGCTTATATATAAATGCATTAAACAATATGTTTAAAACGTAAAATGCTCATTGCACTTGTACATACAGTAATTACTATTAGGGTTTCCTAAGCCTCTGAATGACCGTTATCGCCTGTGGCAGTGTTTATACAGTAATTATCGTGACCATGCACCTTTTACCTGGTTTTTCTCACCTTCAGCTGTCTTCTACCCTTTTTTTTGGTTTGCTTTAATTATTTGTTTTCACTGATCATCATTTAAGATCTATTATGTTTAAATAAATTAGTTAATTTTGTCAATTCTCTGAGAAGCGTAAATTCTCGGGAAAAGAGACAGATGATATTAACCGTGCGATTGTTGATATGGTTGTGTTTGATTACATGCCAATACAAATAGTTAAACATGTTAAAGGCAAAGGCTTTAAAAAACTGATGTCCATCGTTGCACCAAACTACAAAATGCCGTCCCGTAATACTATCAAATCTCGGATCGAACAAGTGAACGAAAATCGCAAATCCGCTCTGTAGGAGAACTTGATCAAGTTCAAATTGATACTGTACGAAGCTCTGACGACTGATGCCTGGATATCAAACCCAACAAACAGTTACATTACAATTACGGAGAGTATTGTTTTTTTAACAATAACACTGTGAACCACTTATGATGATTTTACTTCTTGTGGTTATCTGATAACTAAATTGAACTTAAAAAAATTTATATTAAATTTCGTCGGGCATGAAGTGCTCATCATTGTTACAACAGAAATACATTTACGGATAAACCTCCTATAAGAGCATGTAGTTTTATTTCTACAAGGGTTTACAATGTTTTACAGTCATGAATTTATACTTGTTCAAATTTATTTACACTTTTACCGAGTACCCGGGTACTCGATCGGAAAAACGTCCGAGTAACCGAGTATTAAAAGTTGACCGGTTTGACATCCCTAATATATATATATATATATATATATATATATATATATATATATATATATATATATATATATATATATATATATATATATATATATATATATATATATATATATATATATATATATATATATATATATATATATTGAAAATGACCAACGACACAAACAATAAATATTGTCAAATTTTCGGGACGCCCTGTCCCTTCATCAGGACAAAGATAAAAGTTAAAAGGTCAAAAGAACAAAAGAAAAAGAGAAACAAAAACAACTAGCAATACTACTAAACTACTAAACACTAGATATTTACTAACTTAATTACATGTTGAATAGGAAATTTTTAAGAACACTAATAAAGAAAGAAATCCGGACCGCTATGAAATGCGTCCGGTCTATCGGGTATACTCGGGTGAAGTGCGATTTACATAATTGAACGAATTAATTAAGCTAATTAATTACGACAATCAATAAATCGTGCATTGTTTCATTCTATCAAAATTGAGTAACTTTGCTTAATAAAGAATAATCAAAGAAAAATCATATAGCAGGGATATTTAAACATATGAATTATGATCAAACTATAAATGTTTAAGAGAAATAAGATTCGATGATACAATTAATGATGTTATCTACAAGATACTTTGAATGCTTATGCGAGCTTGTTTTTAGATTTTGAAAGATGCTTACAGGGTAAACAGATGCAATCACAAGCCCATGTCAACCCAAATAACAAAATCACAAATCTTAAGTTTAGTACGGGTTAACTTGCAATTCGCAACTTCACGGGTCTTCTAGACTAGTGGAAAAATGACCTCGAATGAATTAGGAAGACGCCATGACAACACTCCCTTGCACGATCTTTGAAACGGATGGTTGTCGACCTTCTGTCTGTGGAATATGGAGTTGAATTTTATTCAATGTAATGATATTACCTAAAATATACTGTAGAATGGACTTCTAACTCTGTCTATCCTATATTTGAATAAACAGGAAATGAATAAATTTTTATTATCCTGCGATGTTAAAACAATTGAGTTAGTTTTTCCGATCTATGACGGAAAAACCCAAGATGATGCGATTGTTTGGGCTTATTGATCCTAAAACCCTTTTCCGGAGCTCAACCCGACCTTTTTCAAAACTATATATGATTATATATATTTCTATTTTTTAAATACACTTTATATATGCATGTTGAAATTTTTGAAACAAACAAACAACAATGCCAATGTTTTATTTTTTTCTTAAAAAGTGTATTATCTTTGCAATAATAAAAAAAAAACATTGATAAAATGTACTAGTTATTGGATCTTATTCTAGATATAGAAAAAAAAGAAATTAAAACGCAATGGGAAAAACATACAAACATACATGCATAAACCTAATTGAAAAAAGGGAAATGTAACAGCTGAGGAGAACGTGTATATAGCCACATCCGGAAGGAAGCATTCAATTAAAATAATGATTAATAACATTTTTCAAACATTAATTACATTTTGAATATGTTCGGGGGAAAATGTATTTTTTCTCTTTTGATTTTGTTTCCATCTCTAAGAAGATTGGATGTTTCGTCTGAAATGTTTCACAAAAAGGGGACATGTGGCTTTGTTGGGTATGTAGAGTTGATCAGACAGGATAAAAGAAAACACGAATTTCTTATCGTATACCCTGTTAAATTTAAATGGACATTCATGATTGATACATGTAAGAGTTTTTGCAGACTTTTCTGCATATATTATGTACATATAGATGAACCAGAGTGAGTCTAGGAACAAATTTTAAAATTTCTCAGTGCTCTTTTCATAAAGCGATCAAATAGCAGTATATAGAAACGTTATTACTTTAAATAATATGAACCGTTCAAATAGGCATTTATATCAAATAATTTTATTTCAATTGTCTGTGCAGAAAAAAACCGATTTGTTGTGAAGGTTTCAGATGGAATATAACGGAGGAAACATGTCATGGTAAATTGAATTTCAGATGAGTATGTTTAGAAAAGACTTAAAGCAAATTATTCAAGAAATAAATATATTTATTTGAGGGCATGCATATCAACATGTGAAACAAGATATTGGCTGAAAAATTAAATATAACTTCATGTATTCTTACACGTTGAGTTACATTGTCCATAGTTCTGTATTTTATATAAAAAGGTCACATCCTTATCTATCTACAGAGTGTAAACCAGGATACTATAAGCATAACTGTTCAACTCAATGTCCTTATCCTGCATATGGTGAAAAATGTCACCAGAAGTGCAACTGTGATAAATCATCTTGTAACTTTATGAATGGATGCATCATTTATGGTAATAAATTTTGTACATTATGTGACCATTTATTGATTAATAAGTCATGCACGATCAAAATAATTTCATTGTTACGTCATAAGTAATCAACGCATTCAACACGTTTCATTTATATTATTGACGAATGGAAAAAAAAATGATTTTATAGGTTAAAAGCTAAAGCACCTTCCAATTTTTATTAAATTAATGATAATCACAAATGCTAAGAAATGAAATGAAGTATTATTTTAAAACTGTTAATGCGGTGAAAATACAGCTTGGTAATGTGATTAAATTCCATTATGCCCTTCACATGACAAACCCTTATTTAAGTACAGATAGAAGTTTAAAAATGATACTTTGAATTTTTTGAACATGTAAAATTCAAATTAAAAATAATGAATTTATGAAGCAGGACCTCTATTTCAGATTCTACCTTATCGTATATCACATTGACCGAATACACTAAAAGACCGACACAGTTGTTAACAGATATATTTCTACAGACAAAGGAGGCTAAAGGCATGGATTTTCAAACAAGAAAGACGAACGAACTATTTTATGCTGTATTGTTCCTGTCACTAATGCTTGTGTTGTTACTTATTTTCTACATCGGCGTTACTTTCTACCAAAAAAGAACAAGACATGATAACTCTAACTATAGTGTTCGATTTAATAGAAGTATTGATATTAACAGTCTCATATGACTGCATGAAACAATATCAGTTATACCAAAATTTGATCCAATTATGATTCCAATTATGTTTCAAAATGCTGCGTTTTAAAATAATGTTATGGCAAAGCAAAAGTAGCGCAATGATGATCATAAAATTTGCAATAATTTTTGCATGTATTTTTCTAATGAAATGTACGATAATTGAATTATATAAATACCATATGATTGATAATTCTTAACTTTCATTTTTAACAGGTTGATTTTATTCTATTGCCCAGGAACTATAATTATATCATCGTGCATATGAATGTTTTGAATCGGAAACAGACAAGATAGATCCTAAGTTCAAGGAAAAGATTTTTTTTTCAAAAAAGGAAATAAAAGGCAACAAATGATCGATAATTTAATCCGTTTCGTGAAATGAAATCGTTTACTTTTAGTTGCATGGTTCCAGCAATTGGAGTATTTGCTCCAGTAGTGATGTAAGGATTTTATCCTTATGTTGCGAGTTTACACGTATATCAACTGCGGAACGTGGACAAAGGTCCCTCTGATGAGACCGTATAAACAAAAACCTACTGTAAAGAAGGTGAAGACAGGAATGACCCTGTAAGTCGAGTAGATATAAATCTGAAGGTTCTCAACATACGAGGGCTGTTCAATAAATAATGTCCTGAAATGTATGACATAAATACCGATATCATATGATATTAAGCTAAACTTATTCGCATTATTTAATCTTTAATGAATTTATAAGGATTCTTCTGACTTCGTTTCATCACATAATTTTATAGTGAGAAACTGGAAAACAAGGGCTATTCGAGACACTTCATTAAAATGAATGATAAACAATCAGTGAACTAAAGTGAAATTTAACGATTCTTTAAAAGCTGCTGTAAAACTCATTTAGAATCCCCAAGAAATGTTCACTAAAGTATGTAAAATTGAGGGTTACCAATTGCAATGTCCGTTTTCTAGACAAATGAACAAGTGGATTTCAATGATAGAAAACTGTGTAATGGTCATAAAAAACGGATACCTTCCTTGCTAACAAAAAATTATAACAACTTATGTGCTGTTTGCCAAATTTCAAAAAATAATTACTCATGATGTATGATTGACACAGAACAAATTTGATAGACATCATTTTGAGAGAAGTTCACATTGTTTTAAAGAATTGTTTGACCCTTTGATTTGAAAAATGAGTGAAAACGACAGCTTGTAAGAATATATAAACAATTATTTTGAAGTATTAGTAATTGTAGTTTTTGTTTGTTTGATATTCAAACAGATAATGAAACTTGAATCTATTGCTTAAAACCCTCGAAACAAAATTTACAATAAGACATACTTGACAAAAACAGCAAAAGTTTGAGAAGAGCGAAGACTTGCAAGAGCACAAAGAGATTTATATGTAATTTTCTTAAATATTAGTGGTCTTGATGTTCAAATATGTATTTGGGGAGTCTAGAAAGCAAATTTAGCAAAAAAATTTGAAGGCTAATGAGAGTAAGGTTCCAGAATCAGGAATCGACTACATTAGATTTCTTCATGACAGCGTCCAAACCCGCAAGCCCTGAAGAGTAAAGGAATTTTGGGGATAAACATAAAGTTAATTTTTTTCACATTAAGAAATATTTACTAGATCCTTTGCCCTTGACTTGTTTCATTTTCCAAACTTGAAAAAAAACACTTTCAGATGGAAGAAACGTGTCCAGGAAATAATGTTAGATCTGCCATTTCTAGTATGCTAAATGAGTTCTTAAAACAATCAGAAATTGGATAAAAAAAACTTACGGACATGTAGTTTAATTAAAAGAAACTTTTTAGCTAAATCATCAAGACTAAACCATTGAAAAGTGTCTTTTGCTTCTTTCCGATCACCGAGGACATTATTTATTGAACAACCCTCGTATGGTTGCTAATATTCTGAATGATTATACCACTTATATAGCTTCTTCAACCATGTTTTCTGTTCTTGTAGGTAATCTTAATTTTTGCATCGGTATTAGTTTTACCAATTTAAAATGTAATGGCGAAAATGTACAAAGATAAAATAGCTACATGTTTTCACCTTTTGGAAAATACATTTCATTTGTTTGCTGTTAAGGCAAACATACATATATTAAAGTTTTTTTCCTGTGAGGTAATCAAGAAATTTTTCTAACAATAGTAGCCCATTTTAAAGTGTGTAATTCAAATTATGGTCTGGGAAATTCATCCCGACTGGCATATGCTATGATTCTTTTTGTTCCATCTTGTTCTTGCAACACTGTCGCTCCCATGCCATTTGACATGTGTCGGTACAGAAAGCTAGTTACTATTGCAATCGGAATTTAACAAAATACAGGAGCTGATATAAGTTTTTCCTTTTTGTGTATTACATGTAAATGCTGATGTCAGAGATGGTCCAATCGTTCATGTAAGAGGGGCTGCAGGTTTTTTTTTATTTTATTGGTTTCTTTCCTGTAGTCATGATGTCAGTCATATCGATCAATCTCAGAGAATGATATTATAGTTGTAATATTTTGGATCACATTAAACGCGAAATCATGAGATAAATAATTAAATAAAATAATAGTAAATACATCGGTAAAAAAACACCAAAAAAAAAATACGCCCCTATTATTCTGCGACAATGTGTGGGCTGCAATCCCTCCATTCATTTTATTTCCTTTGGTTAAGAATTCCAACACCAGATACGCATAAATCATTCCATTTCGTAAAGGATGAAAATGATCTTGATTATGCTACATTTAGTCACGAAACGCAACAATTAAATGTCCATGGATGTATCGGATGGCATGAAGTTCCTTCGGACAAACGAATGCATGTAGTTGCAGAGAATTGTGTTCATTTAAACAACGCAAATGAACAAAGCAGACAGTGGCACATTATATATACCTGTATATATATAATGTGCCACTGTCTGAAAAAAGATGAAAAACATCTAAAGTCACAACACTTTAAATCTGCACAAAAGCAAACTGTTGGATGGTAGGCTTGTTTAGTGTTCTGGATTAAAACTATACATGTCTAGTGTAGAGAGAGAGAGAGAGAGAGAGAGAGAGAGAGAGAGAGAGAGAGAGAGAGAGAGAGAGAGAGAGAGAGAGAGAGAGAGAGAGAGATGAGCAAATTGGACAAACTTTTATTGTCCCCCTCTTTTGCGAAATCGAGGGGACATTTAATTTCATTCGTCTGTCCGTCTGATAGTTTGTCCGCCCGTCACAAAAACTTTAACCTTGCTCATAATTTTTGATTTAGTGGAGCTATGACTTTCGTATTTCACATGCGTCCTTCTAGAGACAAGACCCTTGTTTGGGTACATGTACCACCAAATTTGACCTTTTGACCTTTGAGTTTTACTAACTTCTACACAAGAATTTCTAATTTTTACTTTGCACATAAATTTTGAATGGTTAAAACTAAGGCATGTATTTTTCACATATGTATTCTTTGTGGCAGGATAGCAACAACTTTGACGTTTTCGACCTTGACCCTGGAGATTTCCGTTTTTATGAAAAAACATTTACCTTGGCTATAACTTTTCAACGAAAGGGACTAGGGCTTTCATACTTAACATATGTATTTCTTGTGAGGAGACCTTCCATTGAATATCAACAACCTTGACCTTGCCTTAAGAGTTTGACCTATATTTTGAAAACGTTAACCTTGGCCATAATTTTTAAACGGTTTGGGCAAGGGCTCTCAAACTTTACATATGTGTTTCTTGTGAAATGATCTTTCATTGGATAAAAAGAACTTTGACCCTTTGACCATGGCCTTGGAGTTTGACCTCTTCTTTAAAACTTAAACCATGACCATAACTATTTAATATTTTATTCAGAATAGATAGGACTTTCATATCTGACATGTACATTACATGTACCTATATGACGAGGTACGACACAATATGTCATTATACAAAATAACATCCCATCCATCAAGACACTGAAAGGGAGGAACCACAATTCTTTGAATTTGCTTGTTATGCAAAAAATTAATATTGTCTAATGTTGAAGAAATCAACCATTAAATGGGTGAAAAAATGAGGTACTCTTCGGAAGATGTAATATTTTTTGTGTTAGTGTAGGAAGAAGGGGAAATCTATGTACAATGCAATCCATAAAAATGTTCGTTTTTATTACATTTTTCTAAATACATGAAATACACATGGTGTTCTTATTGTCTCCAGTTTTTTTGCGAAAGCGAGTGAGCAATAAATCTCATTCATCTGTCCGTCACAAAAACTTTAACCTTGCTCATGAAGTGGAGCTTTGACTTTCATATTCAATATATATGTGTATTTTTTGTGACAAGATCTTTCTTTGGGTTCAACTAAATTTGACCTTTTAACCTTGAACTTTGAATTTGACCCACTTCCTCACAAAATTCCTAACTTTTACTTTGGCCATAACCTTTGAACGGTAGTAATTAGGGCTTTCTTATTTCACACACTGTATATAGGATTATTTTCGCCGTTTTGCACTTGCGAACTATTTTTCCCCGTTTTAAATTCGCCCAGTCATACTTTTGTTTAAGAAATTAAGCTGTGTAATTTGAATTCGCACCGTTTTAAATTCGCCCAATCAGGAGGACGGCACAAGGGGCGAAAATAAAACGGGGGCGACAATTTCCCTGAATACTGTATGTATTCTTTGTGCAAAGACCTCGCCAAGTATGAAATTCATCCCGTGCCCTGTCACTAAGAACTATTTGACTTACAATACCATTGATATATACTTAAACGATGTCATGGTACGCAATACCTGCAATTAAGGTTAAAAATGGAAATATCGTCAATTTTTAAAGATAAACAAGATGTGTTTTGGTGTAGTAAGCATACTAAATATGAAGTCTTTATCTCTCAAGGTTCAAAAGTTATGGCGAAAGTTCTAAAATAGCTATTTTAGCTTATAGGTCAGTCAAGGTCACAAGGTCTTGACCTTGTTGTCATTTGAAAGAACTTTATTTGTGAAGTAAGCATACTAAAAATGAAGTCTCTATCTCTAACGGTTCAAAAAGTTATGGTAAGGATTGAAATTGACAACAGACAGACAAACAGACAAAGATAAACGTGATGTAGAAGTCACATGATTTTATCAATTATATTTGCAGTTTAGAGGTCATCTAAAATTTAAAG